AATTATACAAAAATGTGTTTAAGTCTGCATGCTTGGTGATGAGAGAAAGAGGGAGAAAGACAGAAAGAGTGCGGCGGAGGGCGGGGAGGGAGGAAAGAAAAGGAGGAAGGAGGGAAGGGGAAAGAGAAAGACAGAGAGGTTGCAAACAAGGGAGGGAGAGTAGGAAGAAAAGAAAGGAAGAGGCACGGGGTCTTATTATTTTCTGAGCATCTTACTAGCTGTATGTATGCATTTAACCTCTCTGAAACCTCAGTTTCCTCATCTATAAAATGGGAATAATAATGCCCACTTTCCAGGATTGCAATAAGAATTCAATTAACCATGCCCCGTTTTGGTAAATTCTGGTTCCCTTCCCCTTTCTTAGCCACAGAATGTCCATCTGTGGAAAGCACTAGGAATATCTATCTCTCAGGGTTGCTACAAGGATCAAGCGCACTATTGCACTCGTAGGCAGATTCTTAATTGTTGTAAAATGTCATCTTTCAGCCTAATCTGAGTTTCTGTTTCCTGTTGCACCACGAGCTGCTATAGACCGGTCACTCATCCCCCCTGATTCCTGCCTTCCCAACAAATGTCAAATCACGATGTCAACCCAAACCCTATTTTAAAGACAGACTGCAGAGAGCAATTAGACCTCAGTGTCTACAAATGATTTGCATAGAGCTGTTTGCAAAGCCCTTGTCATTTTTTATGAGACTTGATTTCAAAAATGAAAGGTTTCCTTAGCTCTTATGTGCATCAAGAATGCAAAAGCAAGTGCAGAACCCCTGGATGCCCTAGTAGCTCTATAATTAGATAACATTTACAATCTGATGGTATAATGTCTACATGTGAAGAAATGAATGAACACTGAGGAGCTGCTGCTGGAGATTTTTAGAGGAATATTATACACAGTGCCAGCACCTTGCTTAGAAAATCTGTCTTGTAATTAAGACTCCTTCTTGATCTTTAAAATACCTTTCATTTCCTGAATTTCAACATAAATAAAGAGAGCTAACATTTCTTTGAGGTCTTATTACACTGCTTTATTACTTTATTTAACCTCAGAGCCTTCTTTAAAAGGTAAGCTTAAAAATCCCAGTTTTACAGATTAACTAAATGGGCAACAAGCATCAGTTTTATAAATTTCCAAACAAATGCCTAATTAGCCTATGCAAAACTATGATAAAAGCTGGAATACAGAATGTGGCTAAAGTCAAGAGACCACCTGGTCTCCATTCTGTATCTCTTGGATCCCTGGACCCCACCTTTAAACTCCAGTGTGAGATCTTACCACCATGATGCTGGGAAAGACCAAACAAGGCACACCCACCAGTGCCAAGGATGGGTGAGGCAGACCTAAGCAGGTGGCCCATCTGTGCCTAGGACCAGGGCTCGGCAAACCTGGGCTTCCTTGCTTAAAAGAAGAGGTGGCCTGGCCAAAGAGAAGAGATGGCCAGGCTTCGTTCTATAGGGCAGATCAAGGCTCTGGCTTCCCTATTATCCTAGTGGATCTAAGAGGAGGAGAAGACAAGGGTCCGAACTGCACATAAACACCGATGTTTAACAGTGACCCTGCTCTCAAACAAAGAGGTTCACTGAACATCCCAGATAGGTTCTGGGTTAGCCCTTCCTGTTTCCTTGGGGAAGACACAATAAGCGTGTAGAGAGAAAGGCTGGATGTGGAGGTGAGAGTCCTCTTCCCTCTGAAGGCTGGTGAGGGAGAAACAGTCTTCTCTCCCCACAAAAAGCAAAAGTCAGTGGATATTTATGGAGCACCTCTGTGTATTCGACCCTATGCCAGATGTCATGGAAGAATCTGAAGGAAAGCCGAGCTTGGCAGGATAAACAGAACGTGCCCCAAATTAAGTGCCCACAGAGGTAGACATAGCATAGCACTGGGGTGAGGCTGCATGTAACTCAGTATTGCCCAGACCGTGGAGCACAGATTGGGGGGGTGGGGAAGGCTGGAGAGAGCCAAGAGCAGCTATTCAGGGCCCTGTATGCCATGCTGAGGCCTGTAGACATGCTCCGGACGGCGGTGTTAGACGGTTAGCGTCTGAGGCTCCTGCTGAGATTTCACAGATACCTTTCCCTGGTTTGCTTCTGCCTCACACTTTGAAATAAGACATTCTCATTCTCCATGGCTGCCTGGCATTACTGAGACACATCAGCCTCTGAATGGGCCCCTTCTCTCGTGAGACTTCCTGACAAAGCGATCCACCTGCTTTCTCCTTCATTTGCCTCCCGGGGGTGCCCAGGAATAATGGTGTGTTGTCGGGGCATGTTTTTCCAGCCTGTGACTTCTCTCGTGAGACTTCCTGACAAAGCGATCCACCTGCTTTCTCCTTCATTTGCCTCCCGGCGGTGCCCAGGAATAATGGTGTGTTGTCGGGGCATGTTTTTCCAGCCTGTGGGTGGGGGGTGAATTTCCATCTGCCTAGAGCCCTCTGGGAACTCACTGCTGCACAAACCTGCTGTTCTTATCTAGAATTCCCACAGAGATTTCCTGTCAAGGTGATCCATAAAATCAAAACTGTGCAAATACAGGGGGAAAAAAACAAAAAACCACAACAACAAAACCCCTCTAGCAGTGATAGCTGGGACTGTGGGAGGAGTGACTTTTTAGTCTTCGTGTTGCTTGCAGAGGGAATCGATGTTCTTGGTTACTCCCTCCTTGTAAATTTCTTATCCTGTGGCTGCCATGATGCCACGCACTCCTGTTCTCCTGCTTATCTGCCCACATTCACTAAATTGCCCGGCCTGCCTTCTCTTCTCCCAGCCCATTAGCTTCATCTTGGGTCCTCCTGCCTCCTGATGTCCACACACTCCTCGGACAAGTTCTTCCATTCCCAGATGTTCAGCCACCACCTATTCACTCCAGTCCCAGAGTTCCACACCTGTTTCTCTAACTGCCTAGACATCTAGATATCTCCAGCTGGACAATCTGCAAACATTCAACCTGCCCAAAATCAAATTCATCAACCTATTCCCTGTACAGTCTAGCTTCTCTTCCTGTGGTTACCCAGTTAAGATGGTAAAAACATTAGTATCACCCTTCATGGCTTCCCTCTCTCTAACGCATACAAAACACTTAGTAAGATCAGCTCCACACCTCTCCCTGCACCTCCCAGTTATCAGCACTGTCGCCCTATGCTCCTTCCTTGTTAACTCATGTCTCAGCTATTTAAACCTTCTAAACACTTTTCCTCTCCATTTCATCTTTCACCTCCTACCACACTTGTCTTTCAAACATAGATCTGGTCACGTCCTTTGCTGATTAAACATCTTAAACCTCTGCACATTGCCTACAGGACCAAGCTCCCCAGCACAGCATTTGATGGGCCCCTTACCCTTCAGTCCTGCCCCACCACCTGGTTTATTAGAAAATTCTAACACCCTCTGTTCACTCTCATTCTTCTGATGCCCACTCTTTCTTACCTAAAAACCTTCTCTTTAACCGCCAAGGCCTAACACAAGTGTCACCTCTTTCCTGAAGCCTTCCTTGATTTCCTTTCTTATTTTCCAAATGTTGGCTATTTATAATCCTTTATAGATCATAGAATATTATATAATAGTTCACTGGTATGTACACACTGAATTATGATCTGCTAGAAGATGGGGAAAATGTGTGTTTGGTTCTTGTATCCCTGATCCCTACCACTGTGCCTGGGCAGAATGTTTGTTGAATGAATGAATATTATGATGAAACCACAGAAGCAAGAAAAGATTACAGCAAACATGGGAAATAATAGTTCTCACCAAAGTGATTAGCATAGCAGAGTGGTTTGACAGTGTGGAATTTAAATCCTAGCTTTAACACTTACCAACTGAGTGATCCCTGGGAAGTTGCCTCTGGGCCTTAAATTTTCACCTGGGAAAAAAAGAGATCAAAAGAACTCTTAGGTTTTGGGGAATGGAAATGATATATATAAAGTACTCAGCATAGAGCCCAGCACGTAGTCAGAGCTTAATACATTATTTATACTAGTGTTACTAACAATAAATAAGAAACTTCAGGCAGGAGCATAGTAAGTGATACTGTAAGGAGAAGGTGGGTTCAACAGCATTCACTAAACACATATTTATTAAATATCAGCCAATGGAAGGTATTAAAGCCAGATGGGTGAAATTCAATTTATAGTGCAAGGAACAGGTATACAATCTCCCACCACTTCCGTCAAGGTACACTTTAACACCTGCTGGCTGGAATAGAAGTGGAAAAATTAGATATGCCAGTGTAGGACACAAATGACTGGACACAGAATAGAAAACAAGGATGGATTCCCAAGGAGAAGCAACGTGTCAGGTGATGAATTGGTTGATATGGAGAGGAAGCAGTCAAAGATTCCTCCAAAGACAGACTTTTAGATCGCTGACTTGCTAGAAACATCCTGTCTCCTAGCAGCGGTGTCCAGTACACACAGGCTACCATGGCATAGAGCTTTGGTGAGAACTTGAAGCCTGAGACGTAAACCTGGGAGTGATGTTGAAGCCTTGAACAAAGATGAGCTCCCCCTACTTGTGCCTCGAATGGCATATCATGCACGCTAATGCAAACCATAGTAATCACTAACCAAACTGAGCCACTTGGAACCAATGCCAAGTCCAGCTCTTGGCATTAGTGTAGATGGAGAGGGAAAGTTTCAGAAAACTCACTTTGAGGAAAAGGAGCATGTGGCTTCCTCCCACAGCCAGAGTACTGAGATAAAACTCCAGTGGTGTGTTGCCTTGGCAGCAGTTACCTAGTGAGGAAAGGGAAGGATGAAGGAAGGAAAAAAATGGACAGGCGCAATGAATCCAGCCAAATATTGGATGTTTGTTCCAAAGTTTCTCAATAGTGACAATATTTTAGGGATGGATATAGTTGTTTAACAAAAATCTCTCCTTTTAATAGAACAGATAGAACTTTAGAATGATTGGGTGTACAGGGTGGGAAAGGGAGACGATGAACATGATGCTGGTGAGTGGGGATCAGTTGATCGATGCCACATGACCCGGCATTCTGTGTTTCCCTGCAGAGTGGTGCCTATGACCATCCAGTTCTCCATTCTGATTATGCTGCATTCAGCTCTGGTCCTCATCACCACAGCAGAGGATTATAAGTGTTTGCCCCTCGTCCTCCGGAAAACTTGCTGTTGGATTAACGAGACCTATTTGGCCCGGAACATCATCATCTTTGCATCCATCCTGATTAATTTCCTGGGTGCCGTCCTAAATATCGTAAGCATCCCAAGCCCACCGACCCTGTGGTGTCTAGTGTGCAGTCAAAAGATAAGTTTATGGAGCCTACAGCTTCTTACATTGCCTTTCCTGGGTACCAGTTACCTTCATGTACCTGGTCCAGTCCCAAGCTTAAGGACAAAGAACAAAGATGTGGCAACTGTCAGAATTGTGTGTTTTACTGTTAGAAAATTGACTTTTTCCCAACGGGGGAGGTTATTTGCTCCACAGGAGCTCCAAAAGCTCTTCAGTTTTTGTATTGTCCGTGGCCCAGTGGTTAAAAAAAAAAAAGTTACCATTTATTTATCAAATACCAGTACCTACCTGCTATGTGCCAAGCACTGAAGGAGGAGCTTGACGTGTTTTTTGTATTTCATCCTCACATAAACCCCGTGAGGTAAGTCTCATTATCCCCACTTTATGGCTGAGGAAACTGAGGCTCAGAGACATGAAATAACTTGCTAATAAGGTCTGTCTGACTCCATGACCCATGTTCACTCTAATATGCTAAATTTTATCTCTGGGAATGGGAATGGGGTGGGGGAAATGGAAATAAAATAGCTGCCATTTATTGAGCATGTACTGCGTGGTACAGGTAGGTATTATTGTCCCTATTTAATGGATGAGGAAACTGCATTTCAGGAAGGTTGAGCATCTTGCCTATGACTTTCTAATAGCTTATATTTGATGTGATACATAGAACTCAGAGGAATTTCCAACTGTCATACTATTTATCAGTGTTTGAATTTGGTGATCTACATTTTAATTTCATTTTCTTACTGGAATGGTACCATGGTAGCTATAAGTCTTTTCTGTGTATAAACAAATAGTCTGTGTTGTTCATGACTGAGTCAGCTAGATTTTAGAGGTGATTTATCTGATCCCAGGTCTTAAACTTGGCACATTGACAAAGGCTAGTTGAGGCAACATCTTGTGGCTGAAACCATGACTGTGCTCTTTGTTCATGACTGAGTCAGCTAGATTTTAGAGGTGATTTATCTGATCCCAGGTCTTAAACTTGGGCACATTGACAAAGGCTAGTTGAGGCAACATCTTGTGGCTGAAACCATGACTGTGCTCTTTGGGCATGAGGGAGAATCCCCAAGAATTCAGGGATGTGAACTGTAGACCCCCACAGTTATTGGCTGTGAGTTAGAGGTTTAGACTACCTAAAATTCACTGTCCAAATTGTCCCAGTAATTACCTCGATCAAGCTCTGAGGTTGTCCTTGTAGTGAGGGACTCTGTGGGATAAAGAAAAAGTAAAATCATCATTTAATGAAGTTCATCATCTAATGAATATTTTATAGATTATGGCAATTGAAATGGAAGTGCATAGGTCATTGATCATGGGCTGTGCAGTGGTATCCAGGATCTCAAGTCTTGATGAGGAATCAGATATTTCTGGGGTGCAGGATTTGGAAATAAGCCCTATGACTGTAGGTCAGGATTACTTCTGGGGCCCACCATTCCACAGTGGTGTGGTAGGAAGATCAGAGGCTTTGGAGTCAGATAAACCTGCATTCAAATCTCAGCTCCACCAGTCACCTGCTCGGTGACCCTGGCCAAGTTACTTTACTTCTCAGAGTTTCATATATTTTAGTTGTAAAATGGGGATAAAAAAAATAGTTGCTACATCACAAGGTGGTTGTGAGGCTTTTTTGCACAAAGTGTCTGGCACAGAGGAGGCATTCGACCAATGGTAGCTATTCTTTTCTGAGTGCCACAAAATCTCCAGCAGCAACTTCTGTCCTAGGAAATGCCCTTTACCCCTTCAGATGCCTTGAATCCTCCCAGCTACTGATCTGGAGAAGGCTGCGAGCTTACCCCAGACCTCTTCTCCTGCCATCAGGCTCTCTCTCCTGAGCCCCACAAACACACCCTAGTGACCCAAAGTGATGAGCCAACAGAGCAGTCTTAACCTGGTTTTGTGACTGGCTTGCAAAAAAGCTCTTTCTAAGACAATACTTATTTTTTAAATAAAAGAGGAGATCAAAGCTGGCACTTCCATTCTGGAATCAAGCCCCCCGCCAAGGCCCGGTCTACCCCAGGCTTCTGCTGACACCAGCAGCTGATAGCACATGGCCCTATTTCCAGCTCTCACACTGACTCTGTTGTTCCTGTGTTTTTTTGTTTTTGTTTTTGTTTTGTTTTTTTTTTTTTAATCCGCAGCTGTGGTGTGATTTTGACAAGTCGATACCCTTGAAGAACCTGACTTTCAATTCCTCAGCTGTGTTTACAGATATCTGCTCCTACCCAGAGGTATTTATTTATGAGCTCCCCTTGGTGAGAGTTGGACATAGAAATCTCCACCAGCTCCAAATAAACAGGACTGAACAAAGGGCCTTAGAACATGCTCGAGAGACCCATTTTTCTTCTTCTGCCTCTTCCGCCTGCCTTTCCTCTTCTTCGCTGTCTGCCTTTCCCTCTCCCCTCTCCTCTCCTGCTTCCCATCACCTTTTCTGCTCCCTTCTCTGCCACTTTTCCATCTCCATATTTTCCCCATTTCTCTCTCCCTTAGTCTTCCTCCTCCTTTTCTTCCTCTATTCATTTTTCTCTTCCTTCATTTCTACCTCCTCTAGTCATTTCGCCTAACTCATCTGCAAAATCCTGTTGCAGAATGTGCTGTAGTCTCCATTATCAGGCAGAGTTATTGCTCAAACAGTGTTTGCTGCACTAAATAAGGAGGAGAAAGGAAGAAAGGGAAGGAGGGAGGGAAGGAAGGAAGTTAGCTAGTGAATCACAAAGGCAGAAAATGACAACTAAACTTAAATCAAAGTGGTACAGAGAGTGCCCAGAGAAACTTTAAGGTCAGGAGTCCCAGCAGGACACTCACTGTCACAATGTATATCTGACCCTGTCTTGGTCACAGAGCCACTGGTCTGTCCCTGGGCCTGGAAGTCAGCCTAAGGGGCCTGTTTGCCATGGCCCAGATATTCACATATTGAAGTAGAAGTTTGGGGTCAGGAGTGAGAACAGCAGGGCCAACCCAGCAGACGTCGGCCAACCCCATACCCTAAGGACGCTGGGTAGATTTTTGTTCTCTAAGAGGCTGCCACACTCAGAGACCCTCTCCGACGTGTGGGTGGAGAACAGGCTTCCTGTAGTCTCTCCCAGGCCTGAGAACTGGTCTGAGAAACATTCTGAAAAGTGGAGCAAGCGTCACCTCCCTCCACCTAACTGATGGGCATAATAGCATTAAACCCTCCAGAGGTATGGAGTAGGGGCTGCTGTGATCTCCCTGTTTTAGATCATGAAACTAGGGCTCAGCAAGTAACATGCTCAGTGCCCCTCAAAACCGCTCCTGCCTGAGTTCCTCTCTTTCCCTCTTTTTTCCATCCTTCCTTCTTTCTGTCCTTCCTTTCTCCTCTTTTTCATTCAGCTGTCAAGACTGAACCACATCTGCTTTATTCTTGACTCCTCACTTCTGAGTCCAGGCCCAGCCCCTAGAGGAGGAACTAGACTCTTCTCAAGGGCATGCAGGGTAGGATGGGACTAGGTCCTGTTTAGGGGCTGTGTGGAGCAGACCATGTGCCTTGGGACTTCTTCCCACCAAGGAACCAGTGAAGCCCCAATTTAGCATACTCTGGGGGATATCAGTTCCCTGAGAACTTCTTGGTTTGGAGAGAGTGGCAAGTGTCCCAACTTTGGGGGACAGTAAGTAGGCCAAGAAGTGTCCCAACTTTGGTGTCCCAACTTTGGGGGACAGTATGTAGGCCAAGAAATGTTTCATTGCAGAGCTCAGCAAAAGCTAGATTTCACTTCCAACCAAGCCCCTCACCTGCTAGTAGTGAAATCTTGTATCAGTTTGTACTCTCTTTGAACCTCAGTTTCCTCATCTGTAAAATGGGAAAAATAATACCTTCTTCACATGGCTATTGTGGAGTTAATTATATATTGTGGAGTTAACTATACTCTAACACTGCCTGCCTAGATGAGTTAGAAAATGTTTAGTTCCTAACATGGTGTCTGACATGAAGCAGATGTTCACAAACTATTAATCTGGGTGCCTATATCACTCTAAATCAAAACTGTATTCCCTTGACCCCACACCTGAACTTCCTAACTCAGGACCACAGCACTCACAGATTTGCCAGTCTTATTAAAGTGGTGGGTAAACTTTTTGGTCACATAGCCTCATTTCTGTGCCTCAGTTTTTTTACCTTTAAAATGAGAATAAAAATAGTGTCTTCCTCATTGGGATGTTATGAGGATTAAGAGAATTAATCCATGTAAAGTATTTAGAGTCACACCTCGCACAAAGTACCTGCTCATTAAAGTCAGCCAAGATTTATTTATTATTTCCAGTAGAAAGGTTTTGAGCATGCACTGCCAATGTATATTTATAGATAAACAAATACTTGTACATACCTGTACCACTGTGCTAACATACAGATACATTATGAAACATACTCCAAAAACAGAAACCTTAAAAAATGAGGTAAAATGAATATGAATTGCAGTTTTACTATAAGCCTCCACAACCAAAGGGTCATGTTGTTCAGGGGCCAGCAAACTATGGCCGTGGGCCAAATTCACCAGCCACTAGGACCACCGGGTATGACCCATCATTTGCTACCTATATACGGCTGTGCTTCTCTATCTAGGCATTTGTCTGCAAAACTAGAAAGAACTAAACATTCAGACCTTCTGAAAGGCTTAATCCAGCCCCACAGCACTCACAAGTGTGTATCCCCAACCAAATCACGTCACTTTTCTGAGCCTCGGCTTTCTCATCTGTATGCCTGACGTTTTTACCTCATCTCAGAGAAACAATACTTAGTCCAAAAACATGTTATCAGAATGGATGATGTGATATAAACATGAAGCTGTTATAATGCATGGTGCAAAGTATAATTTAGGTCTAACTAGAAAATTTGTCAGTGAAAAAGAAGGAAGATGCAGAAAACGGGAGGGAAGAAAGCCTTATTCCGTCTGTGTGAGAAGTTGTCTAAGGGAGGGAAAAGACAAGGATTTGTAAAAGGACTGCAAATCCTGTGCACAAACCTGAGTGTTATCATCTCATACACTGAGTGTGGTTCTCAGGAGGCTCCATGGGAAGACCTTCATTTTCAAATCAAGCCATTTTATTACACACTCTGGTACATTTGAACAGTTAACTGTATTCATAAGAGCAGCCAGAGCTTGCTATGTTTTAAAGAGGTCCCTGAGAGCCAGTTTTTCCAGAGATGTCATTATCTGTGTCTTGGCATCCTGCGTCCTGGCACTTTCTCCTGTTTCTTTC